CCTTTAAAATTTGGATTGGGGGGGGATTTCCCGGAAACCCGTTTTAAACCCTTTTTTTTGAAAAAAAAATTTTAAAGGGGGGGGGGGGTTTGGTTTTTTGGAAAACCCCCCCCCCCCCCCCCCCCCCCCCCTCCTCCCCCTCACCTTAGCTACATGTTTTTGAAGATCATGCTTCTTTTCTTATTAAATTGTGGGTTTTAACCGTACATCGAAACTAATATGAGGAAATGAATATTCTTTCTACTGCTGTACAACCAAAAGTTGTCCAAACATTCTATTCTGAAATTGTTTTCAGTGGGAAGATTTTATGAAGCTGGGAGAAGATCTTCCAGAATCAGAACTAGAAGAACGTATGAACAACCTAGCAGCAAATAAATGCTGTTCACTTGTTTACACTGTAAGTAAACATATTACTCGCATCTTAAAATTTGTAATGTGTACATGATATTTGCATATAGCTCTCTGCATAATAACCAGAGAGGAGGGGGGATTGTGGGTTGAATTGTATGTTATTACAGGAAACTATTTCATTCTGTGATCAACCGTGTTGCTTAATAATTACATTCGATCTATTTTTTAGTCGGGAACTACTGGTGTACCAAAGGGAGTTATGCTAAGCCATGATAATGTAAGTTTTAATTATATATATTCTCTATTATGAGGAATGTTGTAGGCGTCTCTTGTTTGTAAGCATCCAATCTTCTTTGCTTTTTACACAGGAGATAATTATTCACATTTAACAGTATTAAAACATTATCACTCATCGTCACTGTATTTGCTTTGACCAAGGAAACAATCTATTAGCATTAATCTCCTTTTGTAATTTCTTTGCAGTTAGTGTGGACGGCAATTAGCGCTTCGAAGGTAGAAGAAAAGAGACTAATTTTTGGAAAGAACAGGGCTGTGAGTTTCCTCCCCTTAAGTCACATTGCTGCTCAAGCCTTAGATATATATTTGTCTATAAATAATGGTGGAACAATTTACTTCGCTCAACCAGATGCCTTAAAGGTAGAAGAACACTTTTGAAATCCTTTAAGCGTTTCAGTAATGCCTGATTATATATTTCGTTCAGATATGCATTGATTTGACCAAGGAAATCCTCTTTCTTTACTGAAAAACATGAAAGAGTTGGTTTTAAAATGAATTTGCTTTGTAGAGATGAATCACAAGGTGCACAAGTTTTATATGACATCTTGCAAAACTATATTCTGCACTGGGCACTATATTTGATTAATTCCAACAAAGTATTGAGGGAAAATTATGCTGTATCATGGGTTTTGTGTCGAATACGCCCACTAAAACCTTGAGATGTAAATAACTTAAACCAAATTTTTATCTTAAGGGAACATTAGTCGCTACACTGAAGGAAGCTAAGCCTACCACATTCTTCGGTGTGCCGAGGGTATGGGAAAAAATGATGGAAAAAATGAAAGAAATTGGACAAAATACAACTGGCCTCAAGCTTAAAATAGCTCGATGGGCAAAGGGAGTCGGTTACAGGGGAAATCAGAACAGGTTTCAAGGGTAAGGAACTCTTTCTTTGCATCTTATAAGCAGAAGCCGAATTTCGATTTACGCACTTAAACATAGCCAATGTTGAAGCACCTGATAGTACTTTTATTATGAGGAGTCTGTACAACTTTCACCCTCGATATTGCCATACTTTGGTCGAGATTTTGATGAAAGGAATTGTCTTGCTTGATTTTTGTTGCAACATGCAGAATCAGAGTAAGGTTGAATTTCCATCGACAGCTAGCAACTGGTGGATCAGAAAGAATGTGTCCAAACGCTGGTTTAGATCGACCTCAGCACTCGTTACCGCCAGTTGCTCATGTTCTTTTTTTCAAACAGCAGTTAAATCTGGTCTCCGAGTCATACGACCACTCAATATGTCATGAAGGTACTGTACTCCAGTATTCTGTGCCTACCATATACAACAAATCCCTTGTTTGACTGTTTCATTCTTGCCCCAACATTAGACATCCTTTGTTAATTTCAGGGGAAGCGTTCCATATGGGTGGACTATCGCTAATTTCTTAGTCTTCAGTAAAGTTAAACAAGCTTTGGGATTAGATCAATGTACTAATTTTATCTCTGGTGCAGCACCTATTGCTAAAGATACTATAGAATATTTTATGGGTTTGGATATTGTTATACATGAAGTCTATGGTTTGAGTGAATGTACTGGTAAGTTAGTGAAAACAGCTCCGTTTATGGTTAAAACAACTAATTGTGGGCATGTGGTCTGTACTATAGTTTGTAAAAACCAAACCACGAATCAGAATTGGTAGCGTTGAATCGCTGTATCTATATTCATTATGATGCATACACCTTGGCGTTTCTTTGAAATTTAAAATAATAAATTATTTTTGTATAAAGGGTTATTTGATATACTAAACAATGCCAAACAGCATGGGCATTACTCGCAAATGTTAGACTGACCATGACGCCGTTTGCTATGCGGTTGTCATGTGTTCTAATCTTGGTTGGCATGTAAAAATACGATGACCTTGAATAAATCTTCACTCACTATTCCAGTCAATCCAGCTGTAAACGGATAATCTGGTAAAGGTTTGGGCCAAGGTCCCAGCTGTGAACCTCTTTGTAAAATATAATTTTTCATTCTAACACATTTTCGTTACACAGGTCCTCATACTGTAAATTATGAGGAAAAAAGAAAAATAGGCAGTGTTGGAAGTTGTTTACCAGGTTTACAAATGAAGATAGATAATCCTGACGAGGATGGTAATGGAGAGGTAAAAGTCTTATAATCATCTGCATATTCTCTGACTACACTGAGCTCAGAAAGAAAATCGGACGGTTCGCTGTTGGTGTATTTAATGCCTAAAAACGCGTAAAAAAAATTAGCGGAAAACCAGATGTTTTTCTATTTTTGCGAATTACACCTTCTTACATCAATTTCATATTAAAACACCAACAATATGTTTATGATTTAGATATTAATATACGGAAGGAATATATGTATGGGTTACCTAGAACAGACAGAGAAGACACAGGAAACATTTACAAAAGACGGTTATTTACGTACAGGTGATATTGGCCAAATAGATGATAATGGTTTCCTTTCCATTACTGGACGTTCAAAAGGTAAACAGCATATTTATTTTCATTCACGTGGTTATATTTGTTCGAGGAAAAAAAATTATTATATTAATCCACCCATAGCTCCAGTACCAGTAAAAGATACTGATTGTTTACTCTAATAAATTGATTGTTTTATAGAAATAATAATTACTGCTGGTGGTGAGAATATAGCTCCAGTACCAGTAGAAGATACTGATTGTTTACTCTAATAAATTGATTGTTTTATAGAAATAATAATTACTGCTGGTGGTGAGAATATAGCTCCAGTACCAGTAGAAGATACTGATTGTTTACTCTAATAAATTGATTGTTTTATAGAAATAATAATTACTGCTAGTGGTGAGAATATAGCTCCAGTACCAGTAGAAGATACTGATTGTTTACTCTAATAAATTGATTGTTTTATAGAAATAATAATTACTGCTGGTGGTGAGAATATAGCTCCAGTACCAGTAGAAGATACTGATTGTTTACTCTAATAAATTGATTGTTTTATAGAAATAATAATTACTGCTGGTGGTGAGAATATAGCTCCAGTACCAGTAGAAGATACTGATTGTTTACTGTAATAAATTGATTGTTTTATAGAAATAATAATTGCTGCTGGTGGTGAGAATATAGCTCCAGTACCAGTAGAAGATACTGATTGTTTACTCTAATAAATTGATTGTTTTATAGAAATAATAATTACTGCTGGTGGTAAGAATATAGCTCCAGTACCAGTAGAAGATACTGATTGTTTACTTTAATAAATTGATTGTTTTATAGAAATAATAATTACTGCTGGTGGTGAGAATATAGCTCCAGTACCAGTAGAAGATACTGATTGTTTACTCTAATAAATTGATTGTTTTATAGAAATAATAATTACTGCTGGTGGTGAGAATATAGCTCCAGTACCAGTAGAAGATACTGATTGTTTACTCTAATAAATTGATTGTTTTATAGAAATAATAATTACTGCTGGTGGTGAGAATATAGCTCCAGTACCAGTAGAAGATACTGATTGTTTACTCTGTTAAATTGATTGTTTTATAGAAATAATAATTACTGCTGGTGGTGAGAATATAGCTCCAGTACCAGTAGAAGATACTGATTGTTTACTCTAATAAATTGATTGTTTTATAGAAATAATAATTACTGCTGGTGGTGAGAATATAGCTCCAGTACCAGTAGAAGATACTGATTGTTTACTCTGTTAAATTGATTGTTTTATAGAAATAATAATTACTGCTGGTGGTGAGAATATAGCTCCAGTACCAGTAGAAGATACTGATTGTTTACTCTAATAAATTGATTGTTTTATAGAAATAATAATTACTGCTGGTGGTGAGAATATAGCTCCAGTACCAGTAGAAGATACTGATTGTTTACTCTGTTAAATTGATTGTTTTATAGAAATAATAATTACTGCTGGTGGTGAGAATATAGCTCCAGTACCAGTAGAAGACAATGTTAAAGAATGTCTACCATGTATTAGTAATTGTATGTTACTAGGAGACAAAAGAAAATTTCTATCAATCTTGTTAACCGTCAAGGTAAGGCTACTTTAAATTCAAGTTACAAATTTTAAGATCGTGTAGAACTTTATGAAAAAATGTACTGATTACAATGATAAAATGAAGTTGAATGGCACCTTTTGGTTACCCTTATCCATTTGCAACTTGGCATGGATAACGAGATATCCAAATAGATTTATAGTGCATACCATATTTTGTAAATTTTAGACGGAAGTCGATCCTGATACCACCGTGCCATTAGAAAAACTCAGCAATCCAACTTTACAGTGGTGTAAGTCTATAGGAAGTAATGCCACTACAGTTCAAGAATTCAGTGATGACGAAACCGTACAAAATTCCATCCAAGAAGGCATCAATGCTGCTAATAAGAAAGCAGTAAGTCGAGCAGCCAACATACAGAAATGGAAAATGTTACCGACAGATTTCTCTATCCCTGGTGAAGAACTTGGTAAGTAAAAATTACGATAAGATTTCGCCTGACTCTGATCTGACAACCATCATCAGAATGAGAGGTTAGATACTGAAGCCAGCGATGCGTTGATAGTTAAAGTTCTGAAACTCGGCTTAAAATCGTACACAATAGATATTTCTGTTCAAGAAATGTGCTGCGCCTTGCTTAGTGTAGTGCTCATGTATTTCTGTTTTCATGTACGTTAACCATATTATATTCTACTACAGGCCCTACACTGAAATTGAAGAGACAAGTTGTAACAAAGAAATACCAGAGCATAATTGAAGAATTTTACAAAGAACATTGAAATGAAAAGAAATCCCAATGGATTGTAAAGGATATTTGGAAAAACACAAGCAATATCAACTAATTATGCAATTTATCAAGAATTAGACAAAAAACTTTACAAATCCAATATAAACTATGCCTATCAGTGAGCATTTATGTTAATATCTCGAATACGGTATTTAAAGAACCTGGATACCAAAAGATCGGTTATGTTGGTTATTTTTAAGCCTGAAATATTATAAAGTATTATATCCATGTTACTTTGACTGAAGTAATTGTACTAATTCAGATGACAGCATTATTCCTGTACCGATATCTACTGAATGTTTATATCGTTAAAAAAAAACCATATAACCACTGCCATATTGCCACTGTGATACGATATTTTATCCTTAATTGCCACTAACCTACTAACAAACAAAACCTTACTATTTATTATTATTATTATTATTATTATCATTATTACTAGACATTGACCCCGTGGTTGATGTGTATGGCTATTATTAGAACTTAAAATATTGACCTTGTTTTTAAAATTGAACTTGCTACGGAAACCGACCTTGAACTTGTTCAGTAACTTTGTGAACATCATATCAATACTCTTCGGCCTTCAACCTTGTCTTGACAATTTACGCCCTTGACATTATATCGGCCTTGAACTAGTGGCCTTAAACAAGCCCAAATATAACCTTAAATTCACTTAAATTGTGACTATGAATATAATGCTTTATTTCATTTAAACAAACTTTATGAAACTTGTCGACAAAACTCGGTATTCCTTGCCCACAGTTGTGTGGATATAAACTGGCATTCCTATGTTTATCTATATATCATTTTTATTTACCTCGACTCACATCGAATATTGATATCGCTTTAATTTTGAACTGCCATTGAAATTAAGCAAAATTTTGAACAACAGAAAACCTTTGCTCCAAGCAGGTTTTTTTGTACAATGACACTTTTTCTGAGTTGTACTGAAGATTACATTGAACGAGTTATTTCTGTGTTTTTTTTTTCTATTTTTTTTATATCAGTTTAGTGTTTTTAGAAATATTTTATGCTATATTTTTGATACTGTCTTTACATAAAGTTTTATAATGTTTCGCATTTTTTTTAAAAATTCATTCCTTTACTACTGATGACTATAGACTCAATGATTTAAATATACATCCTGATGTTTCATTTCGTCATTGAGAGATTAAATGATGAGAGCCAAAAAAAAAAATACGATACGAAATCTAGAATGGCATTTTTAAAAAAATTGGGATGTGGTACTACAATACCAATGGGGCCAAAACTAGATTCTCATCTTTTGTTTGTTGGCTTATACCCTCATTTCACCAAGAATTGTGTAATCGACCAGATCTGAGTCAGATTGTCCCTGATGAAACTTTTCTTTGATCGGTCCGATTCTTGAATCGCCTCCAATCTTCCTCTTTTTTGACACAATTGAGTCTCGGCTTCCCAATTTGCTTGTAGGACCGTATCTCCAAGAACTGCATTAATCCCGATCATTATATTCGGTCGATTGGTAAGATTTTTGCGAAAAATGCAGCCGATTGACCAAAACATTATCGGGTACTATCGGAACCAAAAAAGTCTTGGTGAAATAGGGGTATAAATCAAAAGGGTCTGAACTCATAACCGTATCCAACTACCAACTACGAAGACTACCAACAACAACTACCTAGTTTGCGATATCTGCATCGTCTGGAATGGATGAGAAAGATACAAAATGTCTGGAAGATTATGGAAAGTGATTATGCAAATCAATTGTATTCTGTTGTGTGGCGAGTATAATTAGTATAATTCGTAGTTTGACTTTTCAGGGAGCAAAAGTTGGCAGTTTTTAATCATATTTAATCATACGTTTAAGCTTATGGAAATCAAACGTGTTCTGGTTTGTGACAAGAATAATCAGTTATTTCCCCTTGACCTCAAGGGGGCAACTGTTTACAAATTTACCCGTAATCAGGTTAGGTTAAAAATCAAATATGTTCTGGTTTGTAACAAGTAAAATTAGTAGTTATTTCCCTTTGACCTTTAGCAATCATTTGTATTAGGTTTGTGGAATATTTCGCAATGACTATTGTTGAACGGAATGGAAATGCTCAAAAAGAATGAATGAATGAAAAGGTATAAAAAAGGGAATATGCTCGTTTCTGTCATAACTCGTAATAAATACTGGGTTGAGGTTAGGCACTCATTCAAAGCAGTTCATTTATGCTTAATTGTGAAGAATAATCCGACTAAATTCGTGTCATCATGACCTCAGGTTTCATTTCATCTCCACAACTTTTCTTGCCGCCAAGTGAAACTGAGGCTTTTCTATTAGAAGTGTAAAAATATAAGGCCAATAAATGAGAATGCCAAATATCTGTATTGAATACACTCCTACTGTCTGTATGACCTTGACACCAGGAGGCGACGCTTTTACTCCCACACAATATTATGCCGACCGATTTCTTTGCACTGTAAGAACTGTTATGTCATTGCGGTGGAATCAGAGATAACATTAATCTGGGACGAATTGATTCGCCGTAGCGCCATACTTAAAAGAAGCGTGGGGTGACTGGAGAGGTTTTGGCAAAATTATTTCTGAACTTATACTTTCGGCTATTATTTGGAACCCATTATCTATTCTCTTAAAGTACGGGCGAAGAGTCTGATTGTTCAGTCGATTTAGAATGATACATGGTGTACGGTGCACGGTTCAGTGTTCGGTCGGCAATATTGATACCGTAGAAAAATTAGCGAGATACGGTGACTTCCTTTTTTCTTTTAACATGTATGTCAATCTAACCATCGTTCAACGCAACAAACACCTTCCCCTGTGTATTCGAACTATAATGAGTTCCCATAATGTACGGAAATCTGGCACATCAAATGATTATACTGATAAAGGTAACACTCCTAGTTCCCGCCATGTATACCAAGTCTGTTTTTCTTCGACCGAATTCTTGTGAATAGTTATATCATTGGCAATATTATACATATTACTCAATAGGCATCTGCTAAGCACTGTGATAAACCTAAAAAAAACACAATTTTAGCTTTCTATTTCATAGTAGGATGGTGCAAACTTAGGTCGGATTTCTTTAGCCTTTCTTCCATTAAGATGGGTTGTTCTCATAGTACAACAAATCTTGACATTGAATAGGAAGATGAATTGATCAGAAAATTAAGTAGTTTTCAATGCATAATATAACACATGATTCTCTACATAGCTTTGACCATACATTTCACAATCTTTACGGCAAGTCTGGGACGTACCATGTGCATAGCAATTCAAACGGCTATATTCTATATCACTTAGATAAGACTGAAAACATCATCTTGCTAGTGATCTGAAACAGCAGATATCGACCATCTTGCCAGTGATCTGAAACAGCAGATATTGACCATCTTGACAGTGATCTGAAACAGCAGATATTGACCATCTTGGCAGTGATCTGAAACAGCTGATATTGACCATCTTGACAGTGATATGAAACAGCTGATATTGACCATCTTGACAGTGATCTGAAACAGCAGATATTGACCATCTTGGCAGTGATCTGAAACAGCAGATATTGACCATCTTTGCAGTGATCTGAAACAGCAGATATTGATCATCTTTGCAGTGATCTGAAACAGCAGATATCGACCATTTTGGCAGTGATCTAAAACAGCAGATATCGACCATCTGGGCAATGATGTCATTTTGACATCGATCTGAAGCAGTAGAATCACGTCATCTGACAGTTGTCTGAAGCAAACATCGGCCATCTTGGTAGTCATCTACATCGTTCATTGGAAGCCGGTTTACAACATATCATTTCAAAGTATTTAGGGTCATCTAAAAGGGATTGGAGTGATGATTACAAATAAAAGTTGCCGTTATCAGAGACCTTGGCTTTTGACACCAAGTACATTGTACCTTTGTATCTTCAAATACCTATCATATACAACCTGAAATATGATGGCTAGATTGTGCAATGTAAATCAAATATTGCTGAATATATCAGCAGTAATCGTCTATGATAGCCTCCCTCATATAGATATCCGATAGTAAATGATAACAAAGTTTTCAAATTCATTTTTAGTTATCAAATATGTTACGCCTCTTTACAAATATACAAATGAAAGGAGTCATATGTTCTACTTTTCTGCACTTTATGGACGCCCTTACACAAGACTCCCTACATTATGCAATATGAATATATGTGACAAGATTGCCTTATTTCCATAACGTTTCGATAAATTCCTTATGTCAGAAAAAGGGGATAAATTGTGTCGGAAGAGTCATGACACACAAGTTAAAAATAGCGATATCTTGGTTTGACACTGTAATATCCTGTTGAAAAGACGAAAGTCAAAATAGGAAACGCCTTGCTTATAAAAGACAATATTCGGGTGCTAAACGCGCTGGAGCCTAAACAATGCATCAATATGTAGCTTATTTCTTTGGATATCTTTACGACTGAAAGACAAATTTCTGGGTTGCACGTCATTTTCTTGACACGATTTTCTGTGGTCTTTTGGCCTGTTCATCATATTCTAAAATAGAGAAACCTGCTGGGTGTGAACCGGTTAAACTTTGGACGAGATTAACTGTACTTTGGAACAAACTGTTGGACATGTAACACTGTAAAGTAAAGAACATCTTTCATTAAGTAATATATTAGTCATAATAAACCAGATAAAACACTAGAGTTCACTATTACACCGTGGCATCATTAAATCATCATGTAACCTTGAGGTAAATGTCTAACAAAGCTAGTTCCGTATGTACCTATTACCACAGCTTTACTCTATGCTCGAGGTGTAACATGGAAAATTCTGCCAAATATACATCATGCAGAAACGGTTTTTGTATGACTTTATCTCACATTTGGCGGAAATGGTTTAGTCGTCTGCTACTGCTAGAACAGTGAAGGGCACGCCGACTTGACCGAGATAAAGGAAAACAGTCACGAACACAAAGTTAACAAATCTGATTGGTTGATCATGAGTGTGAGTCATATGACCAAGGGAATCCCTGTGCGTGAGTCAGCAATTTTTATCACTGTGGTATAAATGCTTCACTATAAAATAGATCAGTCATACAATTTTACCAGTTTATGTTCTGATTTTGAGGTTTGAACGTCTGGATATAAAAGAAAGGGCGTTACCTGTAGCACAATGATGCTGGCCTTCTGGTAGATCTTGAATATAGCCTTCATTATCCATGACACTCTGGCTATTGATGTATCTGTGGATCTAAAATCCACATTCCTGCATATGAATTTTACAATTTGAATTTTGTACCTCTGACAACACAAGTCAAATCAATGTCGATGTGTTGCCTGTGTTTAAGTTAAATACGGGAAAGCGAAGGCAATTGCGACAAATTGTGGTTTCCCTGAAATTTCTAAGATCTTCGTGTATAAGTTTTGATACAAACCACAATCTAGATCATTAAAGCAGTTCTCTGTTATACTTATAAGACTGTGTCCATACTTTGAATTCCTCACTGACAAAGTTGCATGAGCAATGTTCTAATAATACTTATGACCCAGTCGATGTATATTAGGTAATATAATTTAAAGTAATTTCTGGAACCTTCGGCTCAAATATTTTGATGTCGTCATTTCATACATTTAAAATTATGCAGTTTTTTGGTATGAAGGTCGGAGTAGACTTGCATATCCGTTTACCCATTCAATTTTCTTTGAAAGCAAAGACAATCCCGTTAGATAAGGATCAGTCGGAAGTAGACATATCCTTTATACCTGGACACACCTTAATATCGTACCAAAAAACCTGGACGACTTTTCCTAGAAATTGACCTAAATCTATCAAAAGATATACTTTATGGGAGCAGGAAATCGAGATTTTAAAAAGTCGTAACGACCGTAACGTACACATTTGACAATGAAATTATCACGCAATCACCAGAACAAAATACTTCAATAAGCGCAAATCTGCTTAGTCTATCATCAATTGTATTTTCTACGTTCGATGCTATGTACCAGACCTGCACTTCTAAAATCTGACTTTGAAGTAGTTTTCCTCATTACTCGTTCGTATTTACAAGCATAGATTCGTTCAATGTGCAGTATTTAAAAGGTCGTCTGCAGCA